TCGAATTCGTCGTCACCATCATCATCGTCATCAAGTGGCTGAACATATTCCCGTTCATTTTCTCTGTTTTTGTATTGTTAGCTTCTTTATAGACGGTATTTGCGCATACGCATTACATGTACGTACAATGGGTTGTATTATAATCCTGTTTGAGCAGTCACATTAGCGCAAAATTATGTATTTGCGTCTCTCTGTTCACTTTTTCTTTTTTTTAACACTTGGGGATGAAGCTGCAATTTCGTGAGCATAGTTCCCAGTCACAAACGGCACCAGAGATCTAAGAAGAGTTCCAGGCCTCGTTGTATTGGGATAGCATCAGACCCAAATTATTTTTGATATTAGAGCTGGAGGGTGAAAACGAAAAGCTGCAGGCTCTGAATGTTTTATTGGCTAGAACAATAAAGAGCCTGAAGTCAGTTTCTAAATCTCAGTGTGTGTTTAAGAATTTGTGCTAACTTTACAGTGTGTCACAGACTGGAAATTTAGACATTTTTTGCATGTTGCGGGACAACTGAGCTAAAACCAGTACCCAAATGCCACTGTATCTTGACCTGTGACAGGGTTTAGACAGAGAGCGATTTTGTAATTTCGCAACGCTACGAGTTATATTTTCGTTTGTTAAATGCGGCGTTTGTTATGTTCTGCTGTTCCGGCCGGGAAGCTCATGTGCGCTGCAATTTTCAACAGAGTGCACATCGGACGGGGCAACTTCTACACCGCTCCGATGTCCTGAGAGGAGCGTGTTCTCTCCCCTTTAGTATTATCATCGAGAGCTTTAGTATCATCATGAACCGCGACCGTTTTGGCAAAAGCAGGAGAAAGAGCGAGCGACCACTATGGCTGAAATGGTGATGAAGCAGCGGAGGGTGTTTCCGAAAAACAAGACTCCCAGTCAGATGAGCAACTTTGTGCGGGCGGGGATGTCTTCGGCCAAGTGTGGAAGTAAGATCGGTTGCCGAGGCCTGTTATCCTCTTTGCTGGCAGCCGGCAAACATTGTGCAATGCGGAATGGTGCTGGCAAAAAAAAGTTGTAAACGACTCACGGATCACCGCTTCTGAAAGGTTGCGTACCTACATCGACAGGCTGTGGTCACTAACTGAAGGTGTATGGTTCGGGATCGAAAGGCTATGACCGGTAAATGGGGAGCATCTCAGTGAAATCACCGTTATTTCCACAGTTATCAGTTGGCCTGGCAATACAGTGGCTTATGTGGAGGTCTGGTTATTCATCATGGCGGAGCAAAACCGTTTTTTCCTTTCGTTTTGGCGTATTAAAAAAAAAAAAAAATGTGCACCAGAGCAACAGCGTGATCGTGCTGTTCCCCAACTGCGCACAGCGTTTTATGAGGTTCGTTCTTATGCATTACGGGTCTGTCCACTTTACTACGTTTTTTACGGTGTAGAGGCCTGAGTCTAGAGGCTTCTTGTACAGCACAACGCTTGAGTCTAGACAACGATCCGTTCTCAGTTTACCTCTTCTCATTCAGAATTTTCTCCCGTTTTGGTGATTTTGACGCTATTTGGAAGTGATTGGGAAGAAATCACCGATTTTGTGTCATATTTACTGTTATCAACAGTGCTGTTAACAGCTGTAATACATCTCTTTAGTTTGGTGTAATGAAGGCCCTCTGCAAAAATACCTCATTTCTAGAACTTGCGTATCATTTCCTGACAAGCTGACAGTATTTATTTTGTTGAAAATAAAGCTTCCTATTTTTTCGTTCATCGTTTGTGGTCGATGCGTTGAAAACTGAGACTGCGAAGTTTATCTGTTGCCCAACTACGCTTAGAACTAGCATATACTCGGCGAGGAAGAGGGAAGCAATAGCGTGGATGGAAGGGGAATCCAGGGAAACAAATGCTCGCGAAGAATTGCAAAATTTGTTGAAAAAAAAAAAACAACCTTATTGTAATGTCTGATGCCACTTGTATGGCTGAGAAGTTGACGGATCGTTATCACAACATCCTTACCATTGTATTTCTTCTTGGGGAAATCGGGCACGTACTCCTGCAATCGCCAGTGTGATAATTTTTCGAATTTTCACTAACGTCCAGCTTAATTCTCTGCCTCAAAACGCTGGTTCAAGTCCATCAGTGGAAAATCTGCCCCCCCCCTCTCGATTTCGTAAAATTTAGTATTCCTCTGTTTAAAAAAAACTGCTTGTTTCTTAAATTGCTTTAGGAAGAGTAAACAGACTTGCTGGTGGGTAGTTCTCTTTGGCAAGTAAGTACCACTCGGCTGCTTTGGACCCCTCTTGTCTCATGTAAAATTCACGTGGCGAGAAGGGTAAGCGAAAGGACCCCCTGGTAGTACTGGTCTTTGCCATGGGAGAGAGAGAGCTGTTGCCGGGAGCTTCATCCTTCCAAACTGCTATTCAATTTTTTTCAAAATTTTCAGATTTCATTAATTTTCAAATCGAAAAAATTAAAATCCAAAATTTTCAGTGTGAGATTTCCCTCGTTTAGCCACTGCTTTAGGATGGGCAGCTCGATGCTTGAGCAGATCTGACCGATTTGAAGCGATTTTGTGTGTGCATACTGGCCACACGCGGATTCGAGTCCTGATATGGTGTGGGAAAGTCCCGGTGGCAAAGTCCGGGAAGGGGACATGCTGTGAACAGTGGGTGCGGAGATGTTCCAGGCAAAAATCGAATTTGTTACCTGAACAGCAGCATCCAGAGCAAGCTTCTTGTCCTGAACCAAGCGAGCTGCGATAGCTGCAGTCACCGGCTTGCTGATACTGGCAATTCGCATCACCGTCTCACTTGTGCACGGCACCAGCTGCTCCACGTCCGCGTACCCGAAGCCCTCCTTCCAGATGCAGCGCCCGTTGCGCGAAACCCCAATCGAGAGGCCCGGCACACCGTTCCGCACCTGATCAAGCAATGGGTTACTTCGTGACAGAGTGTCTTTAGAACTGTGCATCTTGTTTCCTCTCACGTCACTCCCAAACGCGCTTCTGTACGCCGACTCGGTCCGTTCGCGGTGTCCAGCTCGGTTGCCGCAACTGAACTGAATCAACGTGATGATGGCATAACTCGCGCCTCTTTTGTAGCGGGCAACAGCAGAGAATTATTATTTTTGTGCTATGCCGCAGCATGCAGCGCGGCCCGATAGATCTCAGGCCCGACTGCGCCTTTTTTGAGGGCCAGCGGTGCAGCCCAGCGAGAGAACTCCGAGCTGGGGCCGGCTATTGGACAGGCCGGCCAAGCCAGCACTCCCCCACCCTTGCTCAGCAACAGCAGTAGCTCTTTGTTGATTATGAGGCTTTTTTGTTACCATGAATCGCTCAACGACTGCGGCGGCGCTCTCCTTTGCATCGAGAAGGCGCGGAGTGGCACCAGCATCGGGCACTGCCTTGCGATCCTTGAGAGCCAATGTAAATGCGGCGATTGACGCCGGCAAAGTTAGAGTCCGTTGCCAGCGCATCCCACAAGAAGAAGCCGAGCGAGGTCGAACTTCACTTACAGCCGCTTAAGGCAATCGCTAAAACTCGGCTTGCTCGGCGGCACAATACGCTTGTTTGGGTTTAGGCTCGAGCTGCGAAGACTCTGATGCCGGGGGTTTTTGGTACTACGAGTACAGCGCTCAAATTCGTTAATTTCCCTCCGCCATGAAGTTTCCTGCTGGGCACACGAAACTCATATAGGCCTGATCCCCGACAAATCTGGTACCTGTTCCCAGCCGCTACTTCTAAACAACGTCTCAGCGCATAACAGTCACTAGCCTGG